AGGGAAAGGAATGATTTCAAATGAAACATTTGCAAACCCTGCTGTCCGTGTCAATATCGCCTTATGAAAGTAATTTTGTGACTTACAAAAATGTAAGCCCACAGTATAAGATGCCTCTGAAGTACAATATCTTTGTACTTGGTCTGGATTGCAGTAGATTTCTGAATTTCATTGTCTTCTCTCCTTGCAAAAAGATGACAAAAATCTTCTGTCACAGCTTTGCCTCTTGTGTATTGCTTAGAAACAATGGGGGTGTTATTAATAGATGACAACTGCAGCACGACAAGACAGAAGAATTGGTGAAAAATTGGCCAGAAAGATCTAATTCTACAAGTAATTCCATTAAGAAGGAAAAATAAGGCTGGGTGAGGTCAGTTTTTCCAAATACTCAGCTGTAGGCATTAGCAAGGGGCCCATCTAGGCTATTGCTGGTCGAACCATTGCTTCTGCTTCCAGTGCAAGGTCAGACTTTGCCTGGGCTCTGGGCATCTCCAGCAACCTATTGCCATGTGCATCTGTTTTTCATTTATTTTCTTCTAATGTTTTCTGCAGCACTTGTGCCATGTGTGCTTTTCAGCTCATTCTGCTTGTATGAATCAAAGCTTAAGGCTTGGTGTGGTTTTGGAGATACTGCTGAGAAATTAGCCTGCAGAAGATGTTGGCTGTGTTTTTTGGTTTTTGGTTTTGTTGTTTTGTTTTTGTTTTGTTTTTTTTAAAAAAGGAAAATATAACTGACTTTGTTTTTGTTTTGCTTTTAAATAGGCATCAGAGTTAGGTCAGACATTAAATGAAAATGTTCTCAAACCTGCACAGGAAAAGGTAACTTTGGAACTAGTAAATTACTTGCAGAACATGGTTATGCTGACTTTGGAAGCGATTGTTTCCTCCTGCCACAACTGCCCAGTTTGTCCGTGCATCCTTCTGTTTTTTCCATGTACTAGCACAGTAGCAAAGGGGAAACATCAAATCATTCAAAGCTAGTATACTAACAAAGAAAGGTTAACGAGGGTAATTTCCCTCCACCAATCTTTCTCACGTCCACAAGGGTCTGTTACATTCTTCCCCGTTAGATACAGCTTTATAGATTTCATGCTTTCAATAATGGAAGTTGGGACAAGATGAAAATGCACCCTAAATGGATATAAAAATCAGTTGTTAAAAAAAAAAAAACCAAACCTATTAGTAGTATCTTTGAGTGTTAAGTTCATAGTGTTTACCTATCTGCCTGCCAGCATTGTTTTAATTCAGCTAAGCATCTTTGAGCCGCTGTAGTTCATCTGCTGCCTCATCGGGCGCAGTAGAATTTGGGGCAAAGTATATGTTTAAGGTGAACGGGGACAATTTATCAATAGAAGTAACATGTTCTTGCAACCTTTATTTGGTATTTGTTCAGAATATTCTGGGAGTCAGCTAAAACCAAGTTTTGCATGCATTCATAAGCAAAGTCTGGTCTAAAGTAACATTTTGATTAGCAGTTCTAGTTACTGTGGTGTTTCTAGGAAACTAGTTTGAAGCAGATTTTCATCTTCCCTTTACAATTGTTAGTGAGCAAAAACATGTGGCTAATGGCACTTCCAACAGCAATTGGAAGAAAGCGCACATGCTGATCAGAGTACATACAGATAGTCACAGTGGGCGTGTAAAAAAAAAAAAAAAGCAAGGCAGTCTTCATAAGAGACTAGTGATCACTGATATTACAAATTTTAGTCAAAGATTCTCCCTAGCGTCAAATGTTGCCTTCCTGTTTCATATGTTTAAAAAAAAGTACTTTTACATCTTTTCCATTTGGCATGCGTTTGTTCTGTGCTTCTAGAATTTTGGATCGGCTCCAAAATTTTGATGAAGTCTTTTCTGAGAATGTGCTGCTCTACTTCCCTATGTACCTTTTCCCAAAATACATTGGTTTTGATAAAACAGACTAATTTTGTTCTCGTAAGTGCCGCCACTTTGGGATATGGATTAATATTCAATTTGAAAAGAATGGTTTAATCACGTTACAAAATAATTTCTCTTGCATTACCTTTATTAATTCAAATTTCTTTACATAGCATTTCAAATCACAGGAGAAGACTCTAATTGGTTTCCTATTCCCTAGAATTATCCACAAGTTATTTCAGAGTGCTTAGATGCATTATTTTCAGGGTTATTTTTAGGGTGCATTTCCTTGAGCTGATTTTTATTTTGTAGGATGATTTAATGAAGAATGTTGCATTCCATATTAAAAAAAAAAGTCTATTTCCCTTAGGATGTTGTGCTGTTACTTTCTGAAGTCAGTATTCAGTGATCACTGCCTGGCACATACACGGTTATATAAAGTCACTTGCTTTGGAACAGCTGCCATTTATTAATTGGTGAAAGGCACCAATTGTATTCTGGTTGACCAAAGTTCAAAGCCCTTTCAATATTTAAATAAGCATGTATAAAAGGTAGAGAATAAAGCGGATCTGATAGGTTTTTAATCTTTCCAAACCAGGGCTTTTTATATAGTAAATATATTCATAAAATGTCGTGTTTGTGGAATTTTTTTTTGTACTGGCGTTCTTATGCTCCGCATTAGTGCAATGATACTTTCCTCAAACTGTATGTATGTATATCAGTAGGAAAATCCCACAAACCTCAAAGGACTGAGGTTCACTCCATTATAGATCAATGGACTTTCTATGTCATTTTCTTAACTTTGCTAGTTTTTACTTAAGTATATTTTGATTCACTTTCAGGTTTTTTTTTTCTTACGCTCTTTTTTTTTAGCTGTTAAGCACAAGTAAGCTTGTCTTAAGGTTTCAATAATACTTTGTTTTATGACTAATTACCAATACTTTGATTCACATAGGTGAAAGAGGGGAAAATATTTGAGGAGGTCACCGTGGGGGTATCACAGTTGGCCAGCAAGGTATGAAGTGGCCTGCCTGCCTTTAAGGAGGCCAAAGAGTAAGCCTGTCTCCATATTCTTACGAAAAGTTTATAGTGAAACAAAACCACGATGCAGCTTTAGTCTCTGCTTGTGTTGAATACAGAAATTTTGGAAGTGTAATTTTCAGTATGCAGTACTTCTGTTGGGGTGTTAAAAAGCTGTACAGGTATGATGTAGTCCTCGTAGTAGTTTCACCGAGGGCACGATGTAGAGTTACAAGACAGCCGGTGTCCCAAACACAAAAAGAAAATGTCTGCTAGAGAATATGGAGACAGCTTGCATTACATTCGTACGGTTAAACTTACTAATGTTCTGTACCTTTCTTTCTTTGTCTTCTTTTGCTATCATTGCTTGGTAATGTGGTAAGTGTTCTCTACAGCGGCTAAGTACAGAAGTCCTGCACAATCTAATAGCTATTTTGATAACTTGTACAGTGTTACTGAGGAGGGTCTGTCCCTCCAGCACTGTGAAAGTCAGCACTGGAAGCTCTATCCTGTACCAGCTTAGTGCCTTAAATGTTGGGAAAATTTGAATAAAATAAGTGATGTTCCTGTTCTGTTTAGAGCCTGGCAACTTTAAGTCTGAATTCTGGGATTTATCCTCCATATCTATGACTTGGAATAGTAACTTCTGTGGGTGTCACTTCAGAATTTGTGTTTCTAATCCAATGCCAGTCCATGGTAATAACCCCCAAAAGATTCTCCTAGCAGTCATGTTTGTTCTAGAACTCAGCTTTTGGCCTGTTTTACATGGGCAGTGAAATAATACTACTGAAGCGGGGTGAAAGCAGTTTTGTAGAACAGTAGAAATATAAATACTAGTTACATGAATTGTAACATCAAAACATCATTGCTGTCATTAAGTTTAATTTTACGTAAGAAGTAATTGCAGCATTTTTGTCAAGGAAGTCTAGGAGAGAATTCAAAAGCTCTTATTGACAATGGGTGAAAAAGCTAAACTTGACCTAATTTTCAAATCTTCCAGCAGCACGATGCTGTCAAATGTATGTTCTTTACATCAACCACATAACTGCCTGTCAAAAATATTAATAAGTTGTGAGTGAAATTTTCTGATGAAATGTGTTCTCTTTGTCTGAACAAGTGGAGGAATATGTTGTGGCTTTTGCTGTTGGACTTGGAAGAGGTGCTGGTTCAGTCCAAATGAATGGAATGGGTTTTTTTCTTTTTTTTTTCTTTAGGTTCAGGGAGTTGGAAGTAAGGGATGGCGAGACGTCACCACTTTTTTTTCTGGCAAACCAGATGATAATTCTGAAAGGTATTTTTTTGTTATTATTTTCTGTGTCTCTTTAAACACATAATTTTATCTCCTGTATGTTCTCTGTGGTATAGTAGTAGCTGGTAATTTTTAAATATGAAGAAATTATTCTGTCTTTGCTGGTAGTCCTCCTGTATGTAACACGGGAGGAACTCAATCTATTTGTCCATGATGGTTGTTAAACTCAGAACAAAATAGTGCACAGCACCTTGGTTTTAAAATTCTTCCAAATGCATACTCCCTTGCCCTGGGCCTATTAGTACTTCAGGCTGTTAGCTTATATTCTAACTCACAAATTTTTGTTAATGCCATTTGGAGTAATATATTTTGTTCTTCTGCCTTTATCCTCAGTTTTTGTTTAAGCGAAGGGCAGTAGCATTATAGTTTTCTTTGTGGTCATTTATTTTTATTGTTATGTTTGTCATAACTAATTTATTTCTACCTTCCTTTTTTTTTTTCCTCCATAAAAGACCAGCTGAGGGAGACAGCTACCAGAACAGTGGAGGGGAGGGCTACCAGAACAATGCTGTAGATCAAAGCTTCTGGGAGACCTTTGGCAACTCAGATCCACCAAAAGCTCATAAATCTCCAAGCAGTGAGAGCTGGACCTATGTGGACAATTCCACAGAGAAGAAGAGCTCCGATAGCTGGGACGTGTGGGGCTCAGGAACAGTCTCCAACAACAAGAACAGTAACAGCGACAGTTGGGAAAATTGGGAGACCAACTGGGAAAACACAGGAGGGGAGAGCAAGACCAAAAAACCTCCTAAGGCAACAAAAAAGGCGTCTTCAGCTGATGATGGGTGGGATAACCAGAACTGGTAGAACTGTGTTAACCCTGTTTTGCACAGCTAGGAAAGGGAGGCTATGCTGGCTGATTGAGGGGAGAAAGTTTTACACGCAACTGGAGTATCTTGGTTGACCTTACTGATCTGTTACTTTTGTGCTTCCCATTCATTCTCCTTTCTTCTATCCCAGTTTAGGAAAAAAAAAGTAGCATCTGAATCTTTTATTACTTAAAGGTGGCTCTCCCTTTTTTAAAGATAGTGAAAACTAAATTCTCCTTGCACTATTGAAGCTGGGTACAGTGACTTTCTTAACACGAATGTTCAAAGGAAAAAAAATCAGTGCAAGCACACCTTCATGGCACAACCTTGCACGTGTAGGTTAATATGTGTTCATCCAGTCCTCATAGAATTTGAGATGACCTGAGGTGTTTAATGCAAACAAAGGACAGGGTGTGTCTTGAAAAGACAGCTATTAAATAAGCAAACTGCAGTTGAATAGATCTAGTTCAAATGCCTTATGGATTGCTCTGACCGTATTAAGTCTGGCAATTCAAGATGGTCTTTAAGATACTTTTTATTGGAGCTTTGTTTTTAAACTTTATGAGATTGGGGGGGGGGGCAGGGGGTCAGTCTTTTAAAACTTATTTTATCCCCTTAGAATTAATAAGGAATCTAGAGCTAGATAATTATTTGTATAAACTCGTAGTTTTGACCTGAGCTATCAGGGGTATCCACAATGGCTCTACTTGCCCTTCTTGCTCAACGCGTTAAGAGTTTGCACAGTGCAGCTCTCCTACACAGATAAAATGCAAAGCTGTGGTGTTCTCCTTCCTTACTTATGCCCTTCCCCCAATTTGAGTATTTTAGATGGTCTTTTTTTTTTTCTGTCTTTCTTCCTTCTATCCATCTACTTTATCTGTTCTGATAAGAATGAAATCTTTCTGCTGCTTATGGCCTTTTGGACATCTGTTTGGCAACTTGGCAGTGAAACAAATTTATAAAAAAGATTCCAGTATGAAAAAATGGGTGGAAAATATGACAACATTGAGGAGAGAGGCTGGCAGCAAGCCCCTTTCAAGATGAGTAGATGTCTGGATTTAATAGTAAAATTTAAATTAACCAGATGTTTTCCAAATTAATCTCTAATATGCTAAACTGTATCTCTTTATCATGTATTTCTCTGCATTTTGTTCCTGGATCTTGTTAAAGAAACACTACTTCAGAAACTTTAGAAACTCCTTGCCAGCATTAAGGAATGGGATAGAAGATTCAGTTATGTGTCAGTTTTTTGACCCAACAAATTGCTTTGCATGACACAAACCATAAGTTTTACAGAAGAACTGCAACTTTAACAGGGAAGGTGTCCTATGTATCCCATTTTATTTTGGGGGGGTGGGTTGTAAATGTACACTCAGCCCGAAAACAATCAGCTCACTTGAAAACTTCAAATCATAATGTCGTTGCGTAGTCCACTTTACTAACAGCATGGAGTTCTTTACTGTGGACCCTGTGAATCTTAATACATACCTAAAAAGGCCTTTTCTTTTTAAAATTAGTTAATTTGTTCAAGCAAACAATCAACCTAAGTTGTCAAAGTTACCTTAAATGCTTCATTTCTTCTTCTCTTCACAGAGGTTTTTGAGCTTATAGTAATGTCGAGAGGTTAGAAAAGGAAGGAAAATCATGAATCACCTCAAAAGTAGCAGATTTTAAAGGCTTAAGTCTAAGTAGAAGTAGCTGTATTTATAGCCTGATTCTGTATTTCTATTAGTAGGATCTTTCAGATGGTGAACAAAGTATTTTTCTAGTCTTCTCTAGCCCTGTCCTGCAAGAGTTGGGATTTCTTTTTTTTTTTTCCCCCTTGCTTCTCCTGACAGCGTGGTCTCTGAAGCTCGTGCAGCAGGACCCGGCGCTGCTCACGACCCAAGCGCTACTCTAGGCTGAGCCATGTGAGGCGCCCGAGGCGTTCTCGCTGACACGCTGACTCTTTGGAAGTGCCGAAGGCACCAGAGATCTCGGTTTACAATGCTGCTTGTGGTACCATTGGCAGAAGTTTACAGCCTGACTGTAAAACGAGGATTTTGTTCTGCTTTTTCTCCAGTTCCAAATATACCTTCGTCATAGCTTAATTGCATGTCAAATGTAACGTTGTATTTTTATGCATACACCTCTGTTGCCTACTCGTCATTTGTCCGCTGCCCGGTACGAAACTGTAATGCATGTACGTTGAAGGCGGTGCTGTGTAACGTGCGTGAAGTGGCACTGCCCAGTCCTTGACTAACGGTTGGTCTTTGTCAAGTGTTGCAGTAGCGGTGATGGCAAAACGCATCCGATGGGTTGCACTGTCTGACTGCTGGTGTCTGTCTGGATCGATGTGAAGCTGATTCAGCTTCCTGTGTACAAATTTATTACAGTTTCTCTTTCATAAACCTCCTGAAATAGCTCGTAGCAGGATAAGCTTTATTTCAGTCCATTCAATCAACGGTATTGTGATGTGTATGCGTACGTTCTCCTCAGCTGTGTGGTTTGCCTAGAAGAAAACTGGTTTATTTATATATCACTTGCAGCTACGATTGGCGTGAGCCGTTTGTTTGTTCTTCTGGTTTTATTTTTGTATCTCTTGAATCTCCTAAATTAAACTAAACAGCCAGAGCCCTACTCAGGCTGAAGCTTTGGGTAATGATTTTTCTTCCACTTGAGGACATAGTGATGGAACGGTTGCCGTCTCTCTTTTGTTGCCTCTCTACAGCACTGCAAAAATGCTACAACTCCCAGAAAGATGTTAATGGAAGATACTAAAAACCAATAGAATGGCAGAAAGTATAACTGCAGCCACAAAACTAGTGTACCAGCTGGTCTCAGTTTGCCAGGAAAATCGGTATTTTTTTATGACTTGTCTGAATCTGAACGTTTTACCATGTCTTCCAGAGGAGAAGATGAAATGAGGGCATTTTCTTTTGCAAAGCCTCTGTTTTATTGGATTGTACTTTTTTTAGCGTAGATGGCTGGGAAGTTTCTGCAGTTTGGTGGAATGCATGCCATCAAGGCGCATGTGTGGAGCGAGTGTTTATGAATTAGACTTTTCTTTTTTAATCCCCCCCTTCTTTCCCCAAATCCTCTTTTTTTGGCCTGATCGTGAGCGCTGTAAAGAGAGGCACCGAGTGCAGCCTGCTGGAGCGGAGGCCGCCTATCTAAGTGAAGACACGGCCGCTGAATCTGAGCGAGTGTGTGGACTGGCAAGGCTTTGGTGTCGCTGTGTGCTTCACCTCTTTGGTGGATGAAGAGGGCTCCGCTTTCCTTTCAATCCCACACCCTGTATTAACAATTTTAGGTTGTACAAGCAAATTGGCAGGAGAGAGCGCAGAAGGTGACATGACTACTGCAACAATTGGACATTGCAATGTTTGGTTTAAATTTCCTAATGTTTCAAACTGGTTTATTCCTTTGTATGGCTTCAACTTTGGAAAATACAGAGCAGCTGGATTCCTACAGGTAGTCTGAAAGAAGCAGAAGTTTAAGACATTCAAACTAAGTGCCACTTGCAAAAGAGTGAAAGTCTTCGAGAATGTTCCTGAACCAGGAACCTAATCCTAGGAGTTAGGGATTATTTTAAAATGTTTCATTTGTGTCTTGAAACCTCTTAATACTGATTTCAAGAAGTGCTTGGCCAGCTCTCCCTCATAGTTGAGACCTCAAGGATAACGCTGCTACTTTTATTTTCCAGGCCAGACTGTGCAACATTCCATGGGCTCATAATGTATTTATCAGTGTAATGATCTGTGCAATAATTTAACAAGTGTAGGTAAAACCTTTGTTGTTTAATCCAGGATACATTTAAAGATACAGTGGTCCTCTTGGAGAATAGCAGTCTACCAAGGTATTTCAGTTCTCACCTTACTTCGGCAACATGAGATTTCAGTAACCCTATTAAAAGCTTGAGCAATCAGTGATTTAAATGGAAATCAAGAAACATTTCGATGTCCATTCTTAGAGTTTGATTGTAATGTCTTAGTGACCTCTAGTTGTAGAGCCCTCTTTCATTTTCATGCCAGCAGAATCTTGGTCAGTATGGAGTACTGTATCTTTAATTTTCCTGATGTGTTTTTTGTGAAGTTCACAGGAATGGCAATTTCGGTGAACCCTATTCATTGTTCTGTAGAGTGGTACCGGACTTGAACTGCAGTGTCATCTTTTAAAGAGCATTATAATAAAGCAAAGAGATACGGAGCAGAATGGTGTTTAGCCCTTTTTCAGGAGACTTCAGTTAATTTTCAACCCATGTGCATCAGTATAGCTTACGTGGCCTCTGAATGCCATAAGTTACTTGTTAGTACGGTTAGCATCACAGAGTAAACTCGAAATGCTTCGTAATTAAGAAAGTAGGAAAGTATTGTTACAGTGTGAATATGAAATTGTCTTGTTGGAGGAGAGTATCTGACACGAACAGCATGATGTATGTCCTGCTGCGCTGCCGTCATGCATATTCTTCACTGCCAGTAACGAGGGAGAAAGGGAAGCTGACAGTGTTGATGGCAGAGCCAAACCCAGGTGTTTCCTCTTTATATTTCATGGGAGTTTCATAGTCTAACTTTAAATGCTAATTTAAGGTCTATTTGAATTAGGAACAGTTTTAAGACAACAGTGTTTTCTTCCTTTATTTAAAGAGAACTATAAAACAGAAATTAAAGTGGTTGCAAGTAGATTTATGTACTCTGAGATTTTTATTAGCTTGTCTACAAAGGCACAACAGCAGAAAAGGTAACTTTTAAGCAGTTTTTCTTTCCAAAAAGCGAGAATCCTCTGATGAATCCTCCAGCTGGTGGTGATGCTTCACGGTCAAGTTCCAGATTCCTTCGTTAGCCAAACAGCCACGTGTGTACTCCAGATGACTCCTGACTGCACTGAGCTTTATGTAAATTTAAAATATCTTTTATTATGTTCTTGGTTAGCATTACCGAATCCTACTTGCCTCGTAGAAGTAAATATATTGATTTTTACACACAAAAAAAGTGGATGTTTGGGTTGGGTAACGGCACTGGTGTTATTCCACTGATAGGCTGTGTCCATTCTTGCCGTCCTGCATTAAGGGCTGCTCTGTGTGTTGGATGCCAAGTTTTCAGCTGGGATTACTTCAAGTAAACAGGATATGTTGGTTCTGGAGGGAGGTTTTTGGCCCTGTGTTCTGACAGCATATGGAGGCCAATGACCTAGAAATGTACAAAATGCCAGGGAAAGCAATAATGCCTATTCTGAATTTCAAGATTAGCACAATCAGCAAAAGCTG